TTCTCTTGGTCAACTCTTTCGATCCCTAGCCTTTTTCATCGATTGAATTGCCTCCGAAGTCATTTGTGCCTTAGATTGAAGTTTGGAATCGTGTTTGGAACATTTGGAGGTAAGTATTGTGAGTTAGAGTTTTCGATTTTTACTCTTTCTTCATTCTTCTTGATTTCTCATGGATTATTCCATGTATTTAGGGTGAGAATCCATGCAGGGAGTATTTTTACTGTTGATTTCATGGTGGATCTTCATTCCAAGGTAAGGGAGTTGATCTTAAACCCTAACTTTTCTTGGGGTATTTTGAATTGAAAAACCCTTAATTACTTTTATAACTATCTAAATGTAACTGGCAATAAAGGCTCTAAATAGAACAATCTTTGAGAAATATTATGATTTTACTAAACAAATATTCTTTGAAAGTAGTTAGGAGTTGTTACTTGATGTTTTTGGAATAGTGAGCATGTTAATAATGGATTATATCAAATTTTAAGATAGACGATCTTATTATCCATGAGAAATATATATGTTGAATTGTACGATTTGGCTGAGCCCGAAGGTGTCCAACCTCCGGCACATTTTATTGATCTGTGTGATGTATGGACTTGTTTGAAGATTTTCTATGTTGAATGTATGTTCGTTGATGATTGAAGTATGTGGAAATTGATTGAATGAGGTTGTTAATGAAAAGTGTTATATTATTTTTGAATGAAGATATAGTTCGATGTATGAAATAAATGATGTGATATGCTGATGGAATTGTGAGAAAAGTAATTATAATACGGGAGTTAGAATGGTTGATGGATGTGATTATAATACAGGTATTGTGATACATCCCGAAGGTGTATTCATAATACATGTATTGTCATACACCAAGTGATGTGGTCAAGACTCACGTATTATGACACATTAACCTAGAAAAAAGGTATAAGAAAGAGTGAGAAATGTTAGTGGTGAGTTTAGATAGCTACAGAGATACACTGGGGTATAAAGTCCAGAGAAAGTTTGGGAAATCTTAGAGAAATGAGGGTGGTGAATGCTAAATGTGAATGAGTGCACAAGGATTTGCTGAAAGTGAAAGCATTCACAGGCCATACACTCATTTCCTGACGAGACTCTTGACTATACCTTTGCTAAAAGAGGCCAGGTTGGCACACGTGTATCCATGTTGCTACAACTAACCAGTGACTATCTATGCTGTGAAGTCCTCAAGGATCCCAGGGGCATTGAATATGAAAGTGAAATGAATGTGAAAGTGTGATGTATATGAAGTAGTATATAAGTTGTATGATTGTAATATATCTATTGTAACATATCAGTTGATGTTGTTATGATATATGTGTTGTAATACATCGACAGGTGCGATTAGGATACATGTATTGTAACATATTGATCGACGTGGGATAATACATGTATTATGACGTACATATTAGTAGAAAGATGCATGTTATGAAAGTTTGTAAACATGATTGATTGTTGTCTTGTGTGTACTCTGTTGTGATAGTAAGTTGTATGGTTTAAGAGTCATTGTTAATTCGGTCCCTGTTAGAAAATATTTTCAGTACTATATATACATAAATATATGATTATTTTGCTTATGTTAAACAAAAGATTTAGTGGGGCAGGAGATACCCACCCTTACTAAAGTAAAAGGATAAAGATGTTTGGCATTTCTTAGAATCATAATCCAAGGATTTTGGAAGGAAAACTGCTCTGTAAGAATTGAGAAATTTGTATTATTTTATCTAATTGTATTTCATGTTGACCAAATTTTGTAAATGATTTTCAATGTCAGATTTTAGAATTTATAATATTTGGGCTAATTTCATTGTAACGAATATTTTGGAAATATCCTTAGTGGAAATTCTAAATTTATATCTAGTCAAGGTGAATCAAATGATTTGCTAGAGAAAAAGCTAAGTTTTATTTATTACCTTAAAGTTTCAAAAATTTTCTCTTAGAAGTTTTAAATCCTTTTAGAATTTTATGAAACCTTCGTACGAAGAAAATGTAAATTTTGTCTTTATTATATTCTTAAATCCACAAATAAGAACAAAATCATTTTTATTCGTTATAAACATTTATTTATTTTAAATGAAGAAAATGAGGATGTTACACATACCATAATTAATTATATTGTAAACAATTAGACCACATATAATCTATGAATCTATAGGGTAAAAAGAGACAAATGATTAAGTGAACCAAACTTAGTTATTCTCTTTAAATTGTTATTAAATTAACAACTCATATATTCTTTATACCTTCTCTTCTTTTTACCTTGTGTAACTATTGAAGGTAATAATTTAAGAAAAAACTTTTAATATTGCATGATCATTCGGTATTAATAGATTTAATATGAGTGATTGACAATCATAAGAAAATCAGAATTAGAAATAATCTAGAAGTGAACATAGAGAAGTGTAAAAGTGAAATCATATGCTTTATGTTCTTTTTGATTAGTTTATTGGCAGAGGCTTTTAATTTCTTATTTTTAAATCCTTATTTTATTTAATTAATTTCACATCCTTTAAGTTCAAACAATTAAATTAAGAAATTCTTTATAATTAGAAATAATCTTTATGGGACAATATTTCGAAAACTTATTTTATAACCCTTTATTACTTTTTAACAGGTACACTTGTCCATGAACAACTTTTGGACTATGAATGACAATATCATAAAAAAAGACCAATACAAACTTACACAAGTACTCACGTAATAGCTCATTCATGGCCAATTGAAAGGAAGATGGGGCATTGGTAACCCTAAATGGCATAACTAAGAATTTAAAGTGTCCATCAAAAGTTCTAAATGCTGTCTTGTGAGAGTCCTCTAATGCTAAGCAAAATTTGGTGATATTTGGAGCATAAATCGATCTTAGAAAAGGCATGAGCCCCATGTAATTCATCTAAAAGTTCATCTATCATAGAAATAGAAAACTGATCCCAAATAGTAATTATTAAGCGATCAGGCACACAAAAATGCCACATGATATCCTTCTTCTTAGCTAAAAGGATCAGAGAAGAATAAGGACTAGTGTTGGATATAATAAAATCCTTCTTCAACATGTTACAAATGAGGGAAGTCATAATTTCCTTCTAGAAATGGGGTTACCTATATAGACTAGTGTTGGATGTAATAAACTCATTTATCAATTAAACCTGATACTTAAATAGATCAAACTGAGTTAGGTTATAAAAAGACTAGGCCTAACTCCTATTGGAGAGTCTAACCTATTCTTATCCCTAATCATAAGGTGACATTGTTAGTATTAAGTATCGACTACTTTTTCTTTGTATATACATATATACGGATCTTTTACATTTTAAATTCTGCACTTATCATCAGGAGAAATAAAAAAAAAAAAAAGTATGCATATATCATTCAATGCTTTATATTTTATAATTTATTAATATTTTAAAATTTAAAAATAAAATAAATAATAAAAATAAATTTTTTCTCTATCTCGCACGGCTGAGGATCACTAAGTTAGGGATTATCCATGTCCTAACCTTACAATTTTTCACAAAATTTACGAGTTTTCCTAATTACAGTAAAAATAAAATGAAAAAGATTTTAGGTTAAAATGAATTAAAATAAAATAAAAATTCTCTCTACTTGTTTGATGAGTAGAAAAAATAATAATTAAATTATATTAAAAATTAAATTAAAATATATATTTAGTCTCTATAATTAATATTTATTTATAAATTATTATTATTAGAAAAAATTAAAATTTTTAAATCTTTTATGGATAAAATATCTAATTAATAATAAAAAGTATCATAAAAATTAATTAACAAAATTTTGAGTTGATATTATAAAAATTAGTTACTTATATTATTATAAAAAAAGTTAAAATTCTACATATATAATAAAGTTTGATCATTTAAGATTTTGAGTAAATATTATATATTTATACCTAATACATAATAAATATTTTATTAAAAATATATATATTATATACAAAATATTATATATAAATTAAGTAGTTACATGTCAGAAAATTATATTAAGAATGTTGATATTAATACTTTATTTATACTTCTAAAGAAAAAATTGAGTTATAATATAAGTTTTTCTTAATCATTCTTTAATAATTATAATTAGTTAAAATACATATTATAATTAATATTTATTTATAAATTATTCTTATTTAAAAAATTATGTTTTAATCATTATACAATTATTTCGTTACATTTTAATCTCTTCCATTGTTATTACTATAATAATAACAGGAATTAAAATGTAATGACATTTTTAAATATAAATTAAAACGTAAATTCTTAAGTACAAAACTAAATAATAAATAAGTTTTAATTATAAAAAAATTAAAAATTAACTTCAAAATTTTAAATTTTTTATATAATATAAATATTTAAATTAAAATACAAAACAAATGTAAAAAAAAATCCAAAACCTCTCTTGATCCTTCATCTCACTTCCCTCTCTCTTTCCCTCATTTTGGAACCCCCCCTCTCATTTAAACATAAAACTTTGTTCACTTTTCTTTTCTTTTTTTGTCCCTTTCATTCCCATTCCTCCCCTGTTCAAACATATTGTAAGAGAAAAACATAACCTTTATTCTCAAATTAATTATATGCTATAATGTAAAAGTTGAAGTACACTCTTAATAAAATTGTATGAATTATGCATTTTAGTTTTTAAAATTACAATAAATTGTTAGCCCTTAACTTTAATAAAGATCAATCATTTTAGTTATTTTTTGTTTTATTTTTAACTATTGTTTTGCATTAAAATAACCAAAGTAAATGCCTTTTTGCAAAGTCAGAAGCTAATAAAATATTTTTAAAATATAAAAGGTTTTCTCATACAATCTACATAGTGCATGCAATCTCGAATACTAATTTGAATATTTACTCAAGAATAAATCTAAAGGTGCAAATTCAATTGAAAGATGTTACATAGTAACTAGTGAGACAAGGAAGGCTCAAACAATACATACAACAGAGGCAGGAGAAGAAATATAAATGTTGAAAGTACATAAGTGGTTCTTATAATTTTCATTACTAAATGTTAAGATAGACAAAATACGTAGGAAGCTCATGATTCAGGCAGTGATGTGAACCCCACTTCTGTTAAATGATTCACCACATCAAAACATTTACTGTTTTGTGGTTTTGATGGCATAACATATCAATTAATTAAATAAAATTTATATAAAAGAGAGGTTCATACACAGACAAATCATGTTACCAAACTCATCCATTTAAACGATAACTTCTTCCACGAAAAGCAATTCCATTACCCTGATTCTGCTGTTGAGGGGAGGAAGCATTCCCTTCACTTTGCTCTGCACTGCTTCTTGTTGTTTGATTCCCACCAAGACGGTGGCTTCTTCCTCTGAATACAATTCCAGCTGATGGATTAGATTGAACTGGGGCGTTTATTTGGGTACCCTCTCCCCAATATGCCACTATTTTGTGACTGATGCAACATAATTAAGGATTATAGGAATGCATTAATCTTAAAATAAACTATATAGTATGATATGTACCACAAAAAAAACAGAACTTGGTATAGCAAATGATGTCCAATTTGTACCACTTATGCAGTGAATCCATGGATTATAACAATAGGGTAGACCAATTAATATAAGAGTTAATTTTTTGTGGATTGTAAGTGTACAAATTTTCACACTATTAACCAATTAGAATACATTATTTATATGATTTTTATATTAATTATTATAGAAATCAAAGATTTTTACTGATATGATAATTCATAATTAAATGACAGTGTAAAGATTAAATTCTTAATGTAAACTATATGTCATATCCTTGGTGAAGAGGAGATTAGACTTTAATTTTCTTTTCCACTTGGTTAGAAAACTCTTGATCATGGAGATCGAAATTGTGTGATCAATGATCATTGCTATATAAATGTGTTGAGTGATATGGTTTCATGGATCAGAGTGGTAAAAAATGATTTCTTTTCTAAAAATATAATGGTGGCATTTTGAAATGGATATGACGTGTTAAAATGAGCTACTTGATTTAATCACAATGGCATTTGGAACCTCATAAAAAGAAAGGATACACCCAGAGAGGAGTATTGAATTTGAACTTTCCCCCAGCAAGAGGATGAAGCACTGTTAAAAAGTAATAAAGATGTCCTGCAAGCATCCCTAAAATGTCTGGCTTTAAAGTGTTTCCAAAAATTAAATCCAAAGCTAGCAAAGCCCATGGAAGGTAAAATCCCTGCAGAACAAAAATGATCAATAAAAGTTTAATAGTTCCACTTATGAATGGTGGAAGTATAATAATCCCAAATACAAAGTATTCATAATACGAATGACTTTAATTACCATAGTAACTGAAATTGCATGAGGATTAATATAAGCTAAGTTGTAAAAGACAAAGAAAAAAAGGTTACTTTATTTAACTAAACCTGTCTAAAATTGTAAGGAAAAGAAAAACACCAAACAAAAAACGGAGCTGGGCACACACTAGCTCACTCAAGAACAAACCTTGTTTAAATCATTTTTACTACCTTGATTTTATTTTGCTGATTTTGTCAAGATCAATCCTTGTGACTGATTTGAAACATCTAAAAGTAGTAACTTAATGTATATAGAAAGAAAATATTTATTATAGTTTTGTATTCTCAAAGTAATTTATTTTCAATAAAAACTTTTAATTTCTTAAAATCAATCATAAAACTTTTAGCATATTTTTTTATTGACTTTAGTAACGGGACATTTTGGTGGAGGCAAACTGAAAAATCATGCGTAAAATATTTTTTTTCCCTTGCTTGTAGTAAAGAATTGAGGTCTAGACATTTCTTTTGTATTTCCTCTGTTTTTAGAGGCTGAGGGAGGGTGGAGGAATAACTGAATAAAGACCAGAGAAGATAGAAGGCAAAACAGAGACAAGAAGAAGTAAAAAATATAGTTAATCTTCCAAAGAAACAATCTAAAAGAAATTTATATAGATATTTAAGTACGTTTGCTCATACATATTATATATAAATGAGATATAAATGAATTAATAGAATCTTTATGAAACTTCATAGAAAATAATAATACTAATAATAGGTGTGTGTATTTAATTAATACACCCTTTAATAAAAACATAATCCCAATTGCCCTTGGACCATATGTTAACTTTATAATGGTCAAAGTTTATGAAGCATATGTGAGTTTTCAGATATGTTAACTTTAGAAAGTGTTTTAAGTTGGAAAACAAACTACCCAGAAACCAAAAGTATCAATTTTTGTGACATTATCAAAATAAAGAAGCAACATTAGCAAAGAAAAGTAATTAGAATATTATACCTTCAGTGACACAACACCATAAATATTGATTCGTGCATTTGGAAACTCGCGGCTCCAAACATAGACGATCATGAAAACTAAGGAATATCCCATGAATGGAAACCATAAAAATGGCACAGCAGCAATCACCTAAGAAGAGGATGAAACTGTAAGTCAGTAAAATAATTTGGGTATCACTAACATTGTCCTAAGAATATTAATAAAAGAATTAATAAATAATATTTTTTTATTAAAATTAAGTTGGGGAAGAATTAGAAATAATAAGAAAAGTATTGTTACATTTTTCAATAGAAAAATTATTTTATTTCTTGACCAATGCTATTAGAATACTAATTAGTATTTGTCAATATTCTTAACTAGCTGTAATCTATTCTAATTAATGCTGCTCAGTAACTGCCCACAATTAATGTCAATTTAAGCTTGACTCTATTTTTTTTCTTTAACATATACGCTTAATTGGTTTATTTGAACCTAAACTATATCATAAATTATTCCAGAAAAAATAAATAAATAAAAAAGCCTTTTGAGGATGTTGGGGATGAAAAGTCATGATATCATAGTGCCTTTGAATTACAAATTTCCAAGTTTCGTCTTGTTATCCTAGACAACTTGCAGTTCCTTGTATCAACAGCTTCATCTAAGAAATGATCCTAGCCAACATTGAGTGTCATTTCTACCATGAAATCAGAATAACAATAAATTTATGCACATTTTAGATTTATGATCAAACAAGTAATATTAAGGAAATAAGAACAACTAAAGGCATTAAGCATGTTTCGTTTCTCCAACCGAAAATTAACAAATAACATCATAAAGTACAATTACCCTTCACACATACCAGAAGTGAGAATGCACCAAATATGACCATCCAAACATAATCCGCAGTTCTCTTGTCAAAGGGTCCTCTTTCCAATGCAACACCATATTTTGCTCTACGAAATTCAATATTCAAACAATTATAAACAGCTAGAAAATTGAAATTATCTTACAATCAGAATATAACACTCTCATCAGTGATTAAAGAGGAATATATAACATGGTTGTGATCATTATTTCCCAAAGGGCAGCAGAGTGAGATGTAAGTTTCATTAGCTGTTTACATCATTATCAGACGGACTGCAAATGGAACTGAAAATGAGCCAAGAAAGAAGAAATTCGTTATAAGCCTCCAAACCTGCAACAAATATAATCAAACATGATCAAGAAAATTTATTAGTGAATGAAGAAGTAAAATAATTTCAGTTATAAGTACATAGTGGTTGGTCAAACAAAGAAGAATACGAGCCATAATAAATACTTAGAAGAGAAGAAAATATATCAAATCAAGTAACGAAAATAAAACAAACTTGTCTCCTAACTTAAAATCAACTTATACACCTGAATTTTTTTGGAAGCATGGTCAATAACTTTTTATTGAGCTGAGGTACATACCATAATTTTAACTTAAAGAAAAATTATTCATTTTATCTCCTTAATTCATTTTATTTTCTTTTTCTGTAAATGGTTGTTGAGAATGATAAGTTTATCTAAATCTAAAAATGGTGCGGATTCATGCATAAATATCTATGACTACGGATCAGAGTTCAGAACAGTTTTTTTGAATTACATACATGAAGGCGTTTAAACACTAGGCCATAATCAAGGGCTATGTTCCATGCATCATAAAGTTGCAGATAATATGCAGCTGTGGTCATCAAACAGGCCACTCCATAGGCCTTGCTCACAGGTGGTAGAGATCGGTAGTATCTGAAACAATAGAGAGAATTTTATTTGTCTAGGAAAACTTAGAGAAACTCGTGTACTCATAAATATTTGGTAGTAATACTAATGTTATAATTTAGAACTAAGCTCAAATTTCTTGCTTATATGATAATTTTATTAGGTGCAACCATCTAAACCCCGCACTTAACCATATATCAAGGATAAAATTTATGCATAATTAAGATGATTACGATGATATTTGAATAATAGATCAATCATAGCATAACACAGTAGTTGACCATGTACATTATATGCATATAACTAAATAGAAATTCTATATATATGTAACTACATGAAAAGCTATTTGTAATTCTTCATGTTTGTGTTAGGAGAAAGAGAAAGAGGGAGTACTCAGCTGGTGTAGACATATTGAACGAAATGGGTAATTAGCTAGCAAAGCAAGACTTGAACTTGAAGCAGAGTAAGGGGAGATATATTTAAATATTTTGGAAATTCCAAAGAGAGAGTGGCCATTAGAAAACGCATTAAAGAAAAAAGAGATCTTTGGAAGTAGTGACCATCTGAAGTCTTAAACCAAATGACGCTCCAACTTGCTTTTTCTTCGTTGGTTGAATAGCATAGCGTAGACTTATTGACTTTGACATCTTCTTGCTGTTCCCCATCATTTCATTAGGAGAAATTTCATTTCGACTTATATTTTTATCTAAGGAAGAGATAAAAAAAGAAAGTGAGAGAATGACAGAAAAATATGGAATAAAAGTAAAATAATAAATAATTAAATTTATATGGTCAAGAATTGGTTGTAATGAAATGATTGACCTGGTCAACTAATACTATTATTAAGCTTTATGTTATATTATCTTTTTCACTTTTGTAGTTGTTTATGACAAAAAATTGTACATTATAGACAAATTAATCTAAGAGTAATTTGAAGACTATTGTTAACGTGATAACAAATGAGACGTTGCAAAGCAAATAACAGAGCATAAACAATAACCAGATGATGATAAAGTATTGAACTGAATGTAAAAGGTTTACACCAATGTACTGAGTAAGACTGAAATTGCAAGAAGTAAACGTAGAACGAACTGAAAATAAGGAACATAAATGTAAATGTGTAAGAAAATAATGTACGACTTCTAGCAATAACGAACACCAATAACCGTGAGTCTCTTGGTAGTTGGTGTCTGCCTTAGTGTAAAATTTCAGCATACAAAGAGTTTGGGTGTAGTGTTTGGGTGCAAAAAAGTTATCCCCTGGATTTCATGACTGCATGTTGCCCATGATCGTTTCTTCGTGCCCACGATCTCTGACCTTCAATTAGTGTTAACTGCTGGTAACCGCTCCTTTGATAGTTGCTTCAAACCTTATAGTTTTTCTTACAGGTTTCCTCACCTTTGGGCTCCATCTTGTCATAGAATAATTCCCCTTTCGACAAGTTTTTAGGGAACATCAATGAGTTCCACCTTGTCTCGTGGACTTAGAGTAATTTTCTTGTCAATTCATATTTTGACAAGTTTTTAAGAAAACCAGTAAGCTCCACCTTGTCTCGTCAACTTAGAATAATTTTCTTATCGATTCCTGTTTTGACAAGTTTTGAGGAAAATCCATGAGCTCATCTTGTCTCGTGGACGTAGAATAATTTTCCTTATCGATTCTCCTTTCGACAAGTTTTGAGGAAAATCCATGAGTTCATCTAGTCTCGTGGACTTAAAATAATTTTCCTTGTTGATTTCTTTTTGGACAAGTTTTAGGGAAGTCCTTGAGCTCATCCAGTCTTGTGGATGTAGAATAATTTTCCTTGTCGATTCTCCTTTTGACAAGTTTTGAGGAAATCAATGAGCTCATTTAGTCTCGTGGACTTAGAATAATTTTCCTGTCATCCTTTGTTTTCAACCAATTCTGAGGAGAATTTGGGATCTTATTCAATCTCGTAGACTTAGAATAATTTCAGTTTCTATTTTTTAACCAATATTGGCCCTATTGATTCTGGGTGCTTAAAAATCCTCATAAACTCTTCAAAATGCCATCTTCTTTTTGACATCTCATGACCCTTCAAAACTACTCAAAATGTGACCTTCTTTTCGATGATGGATTTTAAACATAGATTTTTTTAGATTTTTCACGAGTCCCAGTCTTGTCAGGATGTAGAATCTAGGATTCTTTTTGACTTTATTCGAAAGATGTGCCCATGCCACTGGTCTTCAAGATATCTTTCTCCTCAAGAAGACATAGTTCATTTCCTACCACAAAAATTTGATAAGGGCCTTTGTAACTTAGAAAATTTTCCTTTCCTCCAAACATATGCCCCCCAAAAATATTAATTTCTCAATTTATGAGATTTTAATTTTTTTAATATATATTTCTTTAAAGGGAAGAAATTTTTCACAAGGTTAAGATTTTAGAATTTTCCTTCTATTTTTTGTTCTTTTCATGATGAATTCTCAAAACAGATCGGCGAGTCATCATAAATGCAATCGAGCCAATTTTCCTGACTATCGATCTCTAAGACCGAATTTTCTTGTTCTGTGCATTGGATCTCTCTAAGACCGAATTTACTTGTCCTGTGCATTGGATCTCTTCTACTGCGAGCAACTCTTTAGGCTTTATTGAGAACTGCTCCATTTCTATTGCCTCAAAGGCTGTCTTCCTCCTTTCGGCTAAGCAAGCCGAATTTTCTATGTATTCAATGGTCGAATCTGATTGCTTGGCCTTTAGGACCTCAGCAACTTCAAGAGCCGTTTTTATTTTTGTTTTCGGCCACATAGGCCAAATTTGAGCCAAAAGGCTCAATCCTTTAGGCTCCATTTCAAACTCTTCTTGGCCTCCGATACATCAGTTTGGAGGCCGTAAAAACCCATTGAAGGATCTAGTCAAATTTCATAGGGCACTTGTGAGTTGACATTCATGGTAAAATAAGGGTCACCCACATCTTTCATGCTGAGTGGTGAAATGTTAGCAAAGGATTTGTCAAACGTATTGCGATCAAGGTTGCTAACATTAACTTTAACTTTAAAATAACTATGGTCTTCATCGACATTCTCCAGGATCCCATCGCTGTTCCACAAGCACAACTTCTAATGGAGTGATGAAGGTATCGCTCCAACTCCATGGATCCATTCTCTTCCGAGCAATAAATTCTAGCTTGCCTTGGAAGCCACTACCACGAAAATAATTGCTTGAGACACGATTCCAATTGAAGTATAGGTAATTTGGATATAGTATTTTTATATAGTATAAGGATAAGGGCAGATGTAACCAAGTGGATCAAGGTAGTGGATTGTGAATCCACCATGCGCGGGTTCAATTCCCGTCGTTCGCCCTTAAAAAAAATCCAAATGAAAAAACACGCACACAACACAATATCAATATAAACATACAAAAAGATTTTTTTTAGTGAACGTGTCACAGTTAATTACTCATTTTTTTTTTGTTTTTTTGTAAAGACGAAGAAACAAATTCTATTTTCTCTACTATTTACTACGACAACGAAGAATCAAATTCTCACTATATTTATTATTTTTTCTACTTCTTCTTCCAAGTGCAGGATAACCCCAAGGAGTTGCGGGTTTTTTTCTCCCAATTGGGGCCCTCCCTTCACCACCCCATGAGGATGGTCTATAGGGTTCATAACTACTCCTCTTACTACAGGACGCTTACCTAGCCAACATTTAGATCCGGCTCCACCCAAACTTTTCTGGTTTACCCCAACATTCCCCACTTGTCCGACTGTTGCTGAGCAGTTTTTGGATATCAAACGGACCTCCCCAGAAGGTAATTTTAATGTGGCTAATTTCCCCTCTTTTGCAATCAGTTTCACTACAGCACCTGCTGCTCTAGCTAACTCCCTCATAGTTGTTAAAATCATGTTATGGGATAGTAGAACCTCTTTTGTCTTTCCAATCCTTTTTAGCAAGAAACTAGACATGAGATTGATTACTGGCCCACAGTCAACGAGGACCTTATTCACTCAAAATTTGTCATTTATTTGAGCTGCCACATATAATGGCTTCATGTGGCTCTTCATTTCTTTAGTCAGCTTCTCAAAAGTAGCCAATGACTTCATAGGAAATCCCTGCTTCGTTAGAATGCAATAACCTAAGGGGTTATCATCTAATTCTTCATCAGCATAGAAATCATCCTCATCTCCTTTGCTGATGCCTTTGGCGTATTTAACAGGTAATATAGACACCACCCCCAATATGTCTCTGAGGTTATCATCGAATCCCGACTCAAATACATTAGTTACCAGCTCGTCATTTGGGTTGTATTTTATCATAGAGCCCTTCATCTTTAATTTTTCCATCTCGATGGGTGTTTTTCGTTGACTTGCCTTGACTTGGACCCTCACTGGAGTACATTGTATATTTCTCATGGTGCTTTCTCGAGCCTGAGCCTAAGCCTAAGCCTAAGCTTGAGCCTTATACTCATCTCTGAGTCCTTCTCCACTAGGACTTAGTCATGGGACCCTTATAATAAGGCATTTACGCTTGGAAATAATTCCCTGATAGGTTATAGATACCAGGTTGGGCAAAAACCTTAGGCTGGGAAAAATCTTTAGGTTGAGGCATAGTTCTTGTTTAAGAAGGCTGGCCCATTTCGACCAATTGCCACTTTGGTCGACTTGAAGCCGGATGTAGTACATATCGAACCCATTTGTTGTTTAGAACATTCTGAGGGGGCATGAAGGTCTTGCTATTTTGAGCAATTTGGGGATCCCGTATTGTTATAGAAGCATTATGAGTTTGGATCCTTTTATTCTTGGTAATCACTTGGTTGGTAGTCACTTGGTAGTCCTTCCTCATCTAAGATTGCTCAAAAGCTTTAGCTGCCGCTTTGTCAAAGATGGCACTACATCTTGGAGATAGCATAACTTTGCTATCAGCCTCTTTCTTTCAAGTTAAAAACTCCAATAGAGTATCTCTAGTTTTTGGGAAAACTTTAGTGTTTTCCTTCTTGAAATTTTCTAGGGTCTCGTCTAGAGCTCTTTTCTTCTCAAATTCATCTACAGTTAGGTCAAATAAGTCTTTTTTTTTTTGTCAGCAACATCGACCATCAGTTTGTCGAGTGGTTCCACAAAGTTGGCCTCAACTTGCATTGGATCAGAGTCAATCTTAATAGGCATTTTTGACTTCTGCTCGAATTTTAGTCTTCCTTGCTTAATAACATTTTGAATCAAATTCCTAAAATAAACGCAATTATTAGTCCAATGACCATACACATTATGATATTTACAATATTTTTTACCCTTTCTTTGTTCTATATTAAGGATCTTATGATCATCAGTCAACACAATTTGGCCATCTTTCAACAAAATATCAAAAATGTGATCGACTTTAGTAACATCGAATGCATAAATTTTATTAGGCCGAGTTTTATCTTTATTCTCAAATGGTTTCAGGGACTG